CACTGGTGGAACCTCTTCTAACCGGTTCGGTAGATTTGACGAACCGGTTCTACCGAATAGGTGCGAACTGGTAGGAACCCACCTCTGTGCTTAATGCATTTCTTTCATTGCAGGGAAGAATATTGGTCTTTGTAATGGGAAAATGAACGCTATGTCTGGGGAAGAACTGGAAAGCATCGATGACTTGACGCTGTCTTCAAGAGTCAAAAATGTAATGGTGGCTTGAGGGAGTCGTGAGAACATGGTGTTGGGCGACTCTTCACAGCCAAAGCCACGGTCTCACATACATCTCTTCTTCCCCTTCTCTTCCAGGTTTCCATCTTCTTCCGAACAAGCCCCAAACACAAAGTTAAAATAATAAAGGTACCCTTTAGACTATAAAGTGCCATAATTTTTTCTCTTCCTTGCAATGATTCTGCTTCTTGGTGATCTCCCCCTTAAGGTATGAATTAACTGCTGACTGTAAAATTAAGATTCTTCGTTTTTCTTGCATCTCATTCTGGGAATAATGATCTATTGCTTGCTATGCTGACAAATCAGGAGGAAGGGACCGACTTCTGCCGAGCTATTCCGATAGTGAAGAAAGAAATAATTCCAAAGTAGGATGTACTTTTTTTTGTATCACTGACTAAATTTAAGACTGCATCGTTCAGCAGTGACAAAACCAGACTGTTGCCCTTTAGTTCAGCAAAGGAAACTTCCAACTCTCTTCTGCTTCCTTAAGTAGCGAATTAACAACAAACTGCAGGAAAAAAAATAGACTGAACTTGTTAGTAAAAATTCACTGTGGCCTTGATCGAATTATGACTGTTTTCTTTGCCCGTTGGCTGCACCAAGGTGCAAGTAACTTTCATTTGTTGTTGATTTGAGACTTGTGAGTTAAAAACGAGCAGTTAATTAGCTCAAAAAAAACTCCCAACAGCTAATCCACAATCACCTTGTTCCAGTTTAGGACAATCATGAAGGGACGATCAGATAATCATTTAAATAGACCTGGATATAAACACCCATTTGGCTAACGTGGGATTAAAGCATCAATATGAACATGGTTTGATTTGAGTCTAGCAATTATCTCTGCGCAAACATTTATCCGTGGGTTTATGGGCAAAGTAATCTCTGATGAAGAGATTTCATTAGATCACAAATCTTAACTTTTTTTTAATTGGAAGAATTAATGCTTACGGTGTCTAACAGCCCACTTAACATCTGTGTAAGTTTCAGCATCAATAACCTAAGATCCCTACTCTGAACGTTTAGCTCTTTTCTCGATGTTGAATGTCCTTGACTTATGACCACTGTTTAACAACCGTTCAAACGTTACGACAGGACTGGAAAAAAATGATTTATGACCGATCTTCTCACTTACAACTATTGGGAGTGTCCTGGGGTCATATGATCACCCTGGGGCTCTTGCCAAACGAAATCAATTGGGGAGGGGGCCGTAGCCGGATTCACTTCATGACTTAATGTGATTCGTTTAATGAGCACAGCAGGAATAGCAATAGCAATAGCAATAGCAGTTAGACTTATATACCGCTTCATAGGGCTTCCAGCCCTCTCTAAGCGGTTTACAGAGTCAGCATATCGCCCCCAACAATCTGGCTCCTCATTT